TACTCAGTATTAGGCAGGTGGTTATAATGTTATGGCTGATCGGTGTATGTGCTGCTCTTTCAGAAGGTTGGCGAGGGACTCTAGAGAGTAAAAAATAAAATAAGTGGAGACCTTTCTAAATCTGTCCTCCGCCTGGTCTGTGGTACGCGCCGGATGAAATATGACTTTGTATAAGCCGCTGCCTCGGAGGTTTATGTTTTTATGATGGATTAGTCGGGAAGGCTTTGGGCTTTTTTTAGAAGTTTGAAGTTGGGTAAAGGAGCGGGGCCGGGACCTCGCGGCTGTAGTGGAATGACGCCTTCGTTGTGTCAGTCCTCCTGGCAGCGGGCACTCTGGCCTCACCAGTGACGTCGTTGGTCTAGGAGAGGCTGATACGGGGGTCCTGTGAAATGTCCTGACCTGGGGATGAGAACGGCTGTGAGAAAACAGGAAGGACGGCCCGGCGCAGAACCGTCAGTACAGAGCGCTCGTCCCTTTTTTATATCTCCATTGACGCGGGGAGGTTTAAGTAGTCATTATGGAGAGTGTTGAAGAGCGTGGTTAAAGGAGAACTATGGGGGTCAGGGCTTTTCCCCATAGTTCTCCTCCTTTTGGTAACGGGAGGACACAAACTAGCGTCCTCCCGTCACCCTAAAACAGTAGAAAGGCATCATGGCACACTCGCAAACCAGCATGTAAAACAACTTGTCTCACCACTAAGGATAATGACAGAGGTTTGGATACACGTCTTCTGCAGAGGATGTGGAAGCCGCACTGCCGCGCCAAGGCACCTCTTATAGTGCGGTCCTAACTCTAAACTATGAGAGTCTCCATCTTGGAGCACATGGGGGCAGAAGATTTCAAATTGGGTGCAGGCCTGTCAGGAGGACGCCCCACCTCCTTAAAAGCACAGAAACGCACAAGGGATCCCGCACATCCCAATGGCAGCTGAGAAACCACATGCGTCGCTGCACCAAATCGGTCAAGCAAAACAAACGACAAACGCACTCAACAATCCCGTCACCCTAGGCTCGGTATACCGCGAGCTGTAGCTCCCTATATACTGAGCCGCTGAAGCTGATCCCGACAATTGTGCCGGGATCCGCCCAGCTGCGTGAGTGACAGCTGGCTCTGCCTATCTAGAGGCAGCTGTACCCGCCCCCTCCCCCGTCCGTTCCTCCAGTCAGCGCTGGCGGATCGGGGGGGGGAATCCACGCCCTCCCCTGTCACGGCAGAGAGCCGTGACACGATTGAGAAGTGAGCGAAAACTGGCATGTGTTCGCTCACCTCCCGATCTACTGAGCCGACCTGTGACATTTAAATACAGCCTCTCCTTTGTATGTTATACATACCTTATTTTTAGACCAGTGACGGGCAAATGCTGGCCCTCCAGGAACTACAAATCCCATGAGGCATTGCAATATTCTCACAAACACAGGCATGACTCCCAGAGAAAGATGCATGTTGGGATTTGTAGTTTAAGCACAGTCAAAGGGCCGGAGTTGCCCACCCCTGGTATAGGGGGTCCTTTGAACGCCATCTGTATGTTCTATCTCGGTGCAGGTACCCCGTCTTACTTGTGCCGGTGTTGTTTTTTTCCCCATTCCCTGAGCACATGATTCCGCTGCTCTGCCCTTTATCAGTGAAATCGGATTGATGGAGGAAATGAGCACTTTGGCAATAATTGAATTGCGGCTTTAATAAGACATTATTGAGATGCTCGCAGAGCAAGTCACGTCTGACTGTCTAATACAGGTCCGTGTATGAGCGTCTTCTGCATGGGTGCTCCTAGGGAAGGTCATACACTGAGTGCAGGTGACGTCTCCTATATTG